GTGCAGCCTTCCAGACCACTGCTGTTGCTTAAGGCCGTGCTGCAATGCAGAGCACTCAGGAGTGGGAAGTCCAGAGTTCTCCCCGCTTCTGGGAACAGCCCCCCATCCCCCTCCCTGCACCAGCTTCCACAGGCAGTCCTCATGACAGTGGGTCAGGCTCACCCAAGGATTTCACAAATGCCTGGCCTGTTCCCAGCACAGCGCAGCTGTGAGGGCTCAGCACCAGGGGTTGGGGGGAGAAGGAGTACCGCACTCCTCCCTCCTCCCGCATGGGGCCCCCTGGTCTCAGGCCCAGGGCCCAGGGGCTGGAGCCCAGGAGAGGGAAGGCCTGCACTTGCCTGCGCTTGCCGCTTGCCTGGCGGGGTGCGGGCAGTGAACCCAGGCTTTCCCTCCCAGCTGACTTCCCAGATGGGCTTAGTCAAGGTTCAAGAAGGAAATTCCCCATCCCAGGAAGAGGGGAGGATCCAGGCTTGTCTTCCCTGAAGGCAGCGTGCAGTGGTCTGAGAGTCACCTGGAGTGATGTTGAGTATGCAGATTCCCGGACGATCCCCAGGGCTTCTGATTCAGAAGGAGCCCAGCTTGCAGTCTGGGAGTAAGCAATTTCATCCGGTCCCTGGGGACAGGCTGCAGGTGTTTCCGTGCTTCAGGGGGGCCTGAGGAGGGTCTGTGTGAAGGGTATTTGGCTGAAGGAGTCCTGGTTTCTCAGCCAGAGGGCGTCCAGCTCCCATTCTCTTTCTAACGGGCCCCATGACCTTGGAAGAACTGCTCTGGTATTCTGGGCCTCAGTTTCCCCATCTCTGAAATGCGTGCATTCTGCCCTGAGGGTGGGGTGATCACTAGCCTGGTTTGCTGGACTTTCAGGGTGAACTGGGACAGGGCTGGGCAAACCAGGACAAGCTGGTCAGCCTACCCGAGGGTGGGACAGGATCGTGGATGTGGGGCGTACTGGAAATGTGACTTGAAGATGCATCTTTGGGGTCCTGATAGCAATCTGTAATTATTGTATTTATGGATTTACTAGTTCATTGTCACTCCTGGTAAACCTCAGGAGAACAGGACAATCAGGGCCTTGTCTTGTCCTACATTCAATCCCCTGACACACTGGACGTGTTCAATAGCTGTTTGTTGAGTGAGCGAATGAGGGACTGAGGGGCTGGGGGCTGGGGGGCTCCCAGGACGGGATTCCCGAACAGAGAAGGGTGTGCGCTGGGGGGCGGGGTGGGGGTGGGCCACCGGAGCCAGCCTGGAGGGAGGTTTGGCTCCCCTGGGGGGAGAAAACTTGATTCACTTCTGGCCGGGAAAGAGTCGGTGCTCTCTGAGCAGCTCCCCTCGGAGGAGTCAGTGACCCCCGGTGACGGAGGGCCGCCTCCCTCCCCCAGGAGCCCCGGGCGCGCTGGTCCACCCTCTCTCCTCCCTCTCCTCCCCCCCCCACCCCAGGGAGGTGCGCCTGGCAGCCACCCCGTCGAATTTCCTGGCACTCGGCTGAGAATAAACAGCGCTCCGCGCCTGTAATCCCGTTGTCACGGCGACCGCGCTCCGCGGGGCGGGGGCGTGGCGGGGGCGTGGCGGGGGCGTGGCCTGCCCTGGGCGCGCACGCTCCGCTGGAAGGCGGCGGCGGCGGCGGCGGCGGCGCGGGCCCGGGAGGTGCTGCCCGCCGGGCTCAGCGCGGACATTCTTCGCATAGCTCCGCCAGGGCTCCCGCGGCGTCCGGGAAGTGGCTCTTCCTGGCAGAGGCCGGCTTGGGAGCGACGCGCCCGCCCGCTCGGCGGCAGCCCGCACGGGAGGGGGCGGGACCCGGCGCGGGAAGGTGCGTCCGGGGCTGGCTCTTCCCACCCTCGACTTGGGTCTCCCCGATCCGCCCCGTGCAGGTGGTCCACCACCCCCCGGACTTCTGTCGGTGCTCGGACTCCCTCTGTGACTCTCTCCCCGTCTCTGCTCCTGGTACCCTGGCGGTGCCCCCTCCCGAATCTCCTCCCTCGTTCCTTAGACTAGGACTCAACGTGCAGGCTAATTTTCCATCTCCAGCTCCCCTGGCTGTGGCCTTCTCTCCCTCCTCGCGCAGAGCAGGCCTTAGGTTTCCCGTTCCTGGCTCTAGCTCATCCGGAGGCCTGCCCCAAAACAGCACCAACGGAGAAAGAATAGGGCCTCTTGGGGGCGGATTCAGAAGCCAGAAGCAGCATGATAGGTTGGGTTGCAGGGCCTGAAAGCAGCAAACTCCCCTTTCTGGGGGTCGGTCAGGGACCCCCAGCTATGCTCTTCTTAACCCCACTGAGGCGTGGGTGCCTGCTTAGACTTCTTAGCAAATCTGGGAACCAGGCACACTCCTCTGGCAGCCAGGTGAGAGCCCCCTGCCCTTAGGTCCCTGGGAGAGGGTGGGCTCTGTCCCCAAGAGGACTGAGAAGTACAGAAAGATTTTTGCAACAGGAGGGCAGGATGAGGAGGGAACACGGGAAGGAACACTGGGGAGTAGAGGGATGTAAGGGAGAGATTCTTGTCTCTCTTGCCACTATCTTGCTTTGTAAATGTAAGCAAATTGCTTTCCTTCTCTGGGACTCCGCTTCTTTGTCCGCAAAAGTAGAAGGCTGGTCTAGTTTGTGGTCTGAAAATGGAGAGACAAATAAAAGTGTGGGAAGAAGGATGGGAGGCAGGCATCAAGGGAAAGGAGTCTGGGGTCTTCCTGCCTCTGAGTTTAACCTCCGGGGTGGCCAGGACAAGGGCTCTCTCCTGAGGCAAAGAAGATCAAGCCCTTTCCATCAGCGCCCTGTGAATGCCAGGCATCCTTACTCAACAGCCTTCTGGGCCAAGGACTGGGACTTAGTGTGACCTAGGTTCCAAGGTTCCAGGGAGTCTGTCCTTCCAGCAGCTGTGCAGCTGTCTGCTGAAGGCCGATGGTGGCTGACTGGCTGGCAGACCCCTGCTCAGGGAAGAGTCTGCCTGGAGCTTCCCAGGCCCCACTGGGTCCTCTCACCTGACTTTGTGCTCTGGGAAGGTGAGCTTACCTGGGTCTGCATTCCCATTTCCAGAAGCAGTGGTCTCCCTCGAGTGGTTCCTACATGCTCTGTCCACTCAGTAGTCTCATGCCTAGCCTGGCCCTTTCTTGTCACTTTCCATTATTTCCCCCCAAAGTCTAGGAAATGGGAAAGAAACATGAGTTTATTTGCTCTTGGTTGCCTTTTGGACACAGATTCCTGGAGCAGCTTATGGTGGGGGGTGGCGGTGGGGAAGTGGGGGCGTGGGGGTGAGGCCTCCTGCATTTGTTTCAGGCATCTGAGGTTTGGGGGAAGTCCTGGGGGCCCCTGACTTGGGGATAACACTCATCTCTTCAGCTGTCAGGTTTGGGGCTTGGGGGGAGGAAGCATGGAAGAAAAATGTCACAGATAAAGTATTTTTTTATTTTGAGCACAACTGTAATGCTGGAACCCCAGAGTGGAGGTCCTCATCTGTTGACTTTGTGGGGAGATGTGCAGAGGGGCAGCCCTGGGCACATACTTAGTGCTTAGGGAGGCAGAGAGAGTTCATGGGCTCTGGAAACCAGATGCTCCCAGGTTCTAGTTCTGTGTCTTTACCCACATTCCCAAGTGGTGTGTCCGTGGGCAGGTTGCTTAACCTCCCTGAACCTGAGTGGCTGCCCCCCTCCCCAGGGGACAAATATTTACTGAGCACTGTTCTAGGCATCAGAAGTGACCAGCGTAATCCCCCAGCTCCCATGCTCCGTCGTGTCTGACAAATCGTCGGTGCTCACACCTGCCTTGTGGGGCTGGGAAGGTTAGCCGGATAGCCTCTAAGTGCCCAGAGGGTGGGAGCGACTAAAAATAGGCAAATAGATGGGTGCTGTCACCAGGAGGCCTGTGACTGGCCACCGCTCAGGAGGGGTGTCCCAGGAATTGAGGGAAGCTGGAGGCGCCGGGAGGCAGTGCCCGTGGGGATCACCCCTTCCCCCACTCCCATGAACCGGGCTGTGCTGAGGTCACGGGTCACCGCCAGGACCCCGGGAGTCTGGGCTTTCTCGGAACACCTCCTTGCCAAGCAGCAGAGCGCCTCTAATAGCCTGGAGTCTCTAAAAGCTTTGACCACAGCTCAGCTTATTCCCTGCAAACCCTTTGAAGGGCTTCCTTCGAACTTGCTTTGCATATTCTGGTCAGATCTGAATCAGACTAGCAGGAATTACCCCTCTCGGTAAAGCCGGGGTGGCTGCCTCGGCTTGTCAGTGACGTGGTGAAGCCGAGCCCGTCTCCACGGTGAGGGGCGCCCAGGACAGCGAGGGGGCAGAGCCCGCACCTCTGCGGCTCCCCCCACCCCACCCCTTGGATGCGGAGTTGGGGGCGGGTAGGGAGCAAGGCAGGAAAGGGGCCCGGAGGAAAAGGCTTCAGTCGGTTTTCATTAAAAAATAGTGCTCTTTATTATAAATTACTGAAATGTTTCTTTTTTGAGTATAAATATAAATATGTGCAAAGTTTGACTTCCACTGGCATCCTGTCGGGGTCTTCAAGCATCTCCTAACAGCCTCGAAGGCCTGGGTGGGGGAGGGGAGAGGGCTGGAGGTGGGATCTTTATAAAAGACAGAGTGATTGAGGCAGATTGTAAACATTATTAAAACAAACAAACAAAAAAACCAGGAAAAAGAAAACAAAAAACCTAAACCAAACACCCCAACACACAGCTGCCCCAGCCAGCCCAACACCTGACACAGAAAACTTTGTGTTTGTTTCATTTTTCCCCAAAAAGAACAGTTCCAGGTTAATTCCATCGCTGCTACATTCCGGTTAAATTTTCACTGATCAGTGCTATTACAGAGCTGGAGCAGCTGGGGTGGCGGGGCCCCAGTCTCTCCGTGACTTCCTGCCTGTGCCCTTCCCCCAGGGGAGGAGGGCCGTGGGACCTGGGGGCTCTGCCCTGCCAGAGCCCGGGCACGCGGAGGCACCTGTGGCCGGCCACTACCGAATGGGCTCGCATTCTTCCAGTGCGGGGCTGGAAGGCGTGGATCCCCACCCCCACTTCCACCTCCGCCCACCCCTCCCCCCACGCCCAGCGGCCAGCCCTCCGAGGATCCCTTGGCCTCTGTCGGGATTGGCTGAGTGTGTGGCTTCTTGTGTGCCAGTCCCTATCCATGGGACAGGGAGCATTTAAGGCAAATCTCCTAGCCAGACAGTCAGGAGGCACAAACTAGAATCCCTCATCTTCTCTGTCCGGAATCTGGGGTCAAAGATGGCTCATCTCCTCCATCTTCGACCCGCCCCAGGTGCCAGAAGGTAGAGCAGGGGTGGGGAAAAGAGTAACTGACCTGCCCACCCTTTCCGCTCCCAGTGCCACTTCCCCCTTAAAACGGGGGAAGGGCCCTGGGGTCCCGGGCACTAGATGGACTCTGCGACCTGTTTCTGGTGGCTGTCCCAGAGACGGGGACAGAACGGACCCCTTCAGGTCACCGCTTGCCCTTATCCCCCAAAGCCACGGGAGGAGCACACAGTCGCCCTCCTCACTTGGGGGTGGGCAGTGGGAGCGGCCAACGCCGCGGCCAGCCTGCAGCCCTGGGGCCCTGGGCGCCCTCTCCCGCACCCTTTCACAGGCCAGAGACCTGCTCGGGTTTAAAGCTACCTTTTAAACCAAATCAAAGAGCAAACAAGTTCCGTTGGAAAGTTTGAAGACTCCCCGGCAGTTCTCACTAGTTCAACACTCCCGCAGTGTCCCCTGTTTGGAAATGCAGGGGGAGTCGAGGAAGCGAAGAGCTGAGAAGAGAATCCACGGCTGTCGTCGCTGTCCCCACCGGGCCAGCGGACTCCTCCGGAGAAGCTGGAGTGGGGGCGGGGCGCTCAGGTGGCACTCCCCCTTCTCTCAAACACATTCCAGGTCCCGCCTGCCCCATTCTGCAGGGGGGAGGGCCGAAGGGAGGGGCCAGTCCGCCCCTCCGCTGGCTCGCCCAGAGCCGCAGGGCTCTCCTGGCCGGATTCTTGTGCTTGTGCCATGTGCCACGGAGGAGAGGGGACCCAGGCTCCTCGCCCCGACCCCTGTCCTTTGCTCTTTAAAGCGGGGCATCGTACTGGTCCAGGAATTCCCGAATGGGCCCAGGCAGCTGGGTGACTTTCTCATAGGAGTCCAGATGGCCATTGACCGTCTTCCGACAGAGATGCTGGAGAGTGGCCACGTTGGAGGAGAGGGGCCGGCTCAACACCAGGGGGATCTTCTCGCCGCCCGAGTAGATGTAATAGGCTCTCCTGGGGGGATTCCCGGGGAGCGGCTGGGATGGCGGCTGCTCCGGCACCTCAGAGGAGGGTTCGGTCGGTGGCGAGGGGAAGGAGGGGGCGCCGGGGGGCGGCATGTAGTGATGCACCAGCTTGAGCACGCAGTCGAAGCGGGGCACCGGCTGCGTGCTCCGGGGGTCGCTCTGCAGCGAGAAGCTGCCCCCCTCGCACTGGATGCGCAGGTTCTTGGTCCCCGACTGGGTCTTGACGCTGAGTGTGAAGAAGTGGCGCTGGTCCGAGCTGTCGCGGATGAGGAAGGTGCCGGCGGGCTCGGCGCTGAGCAGCAGGTTCGCCTCGCCGCCCGTCACGGCGCTCCAGTAGAAGCCGCTCTCCTGCAGCTTGCGGACTGCGTTCACCACCAGCTGGTACTCGCTCTTGGAGCTGAAGGTCTTGAGGCGCAGGCTGGTGTCCAGGGGGCGGCTCATCCCGGCGGCGGGAAACTTGCTGTGGGTGACCATGGCGCACGGAGCCAGCGTGGATCTGCGCGGCGGCGGCTGCAGCTGCTCGGCGGCCTCCGCACAGCGGCCGCTACCGCATCCCGGGGGGCTGTGGGGAGGAAGGGGCGCGCCGGGTGAGTGCCCGGAACCCTCCAGCGCGCCCTGCCCGCCCCGGCTCCCCAGCCTCCGCGGAGCGGCCGGGGCACCCCCTGCCCGGAGGGCCTCCCGCCTGAGCCCTTCCTCCCACTCGGGCACCCCGCGGAGCCCGCCCAGCCCCAGCCCCCCGCCCCCGCCCCCACCCCCGCCCGCGGGGTGGCCCCAGGCAGCCCCCTCCCCGGCGCGCACTGGGAGAACGCCGAGTGGGAAACTCGGGCGCGGAAGTTGGGTCTCCGGGAGCATGGCCGTGGAGGGGAGCGGGAGAAGGGCCCCCGGGACGCTCTGGGCGCCGCTCAGTCCGGTGGCCCCGGGCGGCGGGGACGGAGAGAGAAATCTGAGGCATTGGGGCGGTAGGGTGGGGAGGGGACAGGAGAAGCCCGAGGGCCCAGCCTGGGTCTTCCGGGAACCTGGGATCTCCGGCTTCCATCCGCTCTGGCCCCTACCTCTTCCCCTCCCTGCCGGGAATGACCAGGGAAGGGGAGGGGAAACCGGGAAAAGCTCCCGAGACTAGCTGGTCCCCCCCCACCCCGAACCCCCGCTCCCGCCCCGCTCCACGCCGCGCCCCTCCTTCCTACCTCGTCCCCAAACGAAGTCTCCGGCCTCGGGGCTGCGCCTCCTACGGTCCCCAAGGCGAGGCGGCGGCCAGCGGTGGCCCGCGCTGCGCCCAGATGTTGGCGGCCGTGAAGTCCACAAAGGGCCTCGCGCGCGCGTCCTTCGGGCTTCGCAGGGGCGCCCGCCCTGCCCCCTGCGCGTCCCCGGGCCGGCCGGCGGGGACGAGGCGAGGGGCCGCGGCGGGAGCTGGGCCGGAGCGGCGGCGCTGGCGGCGGCGGCTGCGCGGGAGTGTGAGTCGGAGCCGCCGCCGAGGCCGCGCTCGCGGGTATATACGCGGCCGCCGCGCCCCGCCCCCCCGATTCCTGGAACTGCGCGGCCGGCCTTCTTGTAATGTTTAGTCACTACTCGCAGCAATGAAAGGCTGCGCGGAGGGCGAAGGAGGGGCCGCGGGCGGCCGAGGGCGGGCCGCGAGCGGGACCAGGACCCGCCGAGACGCGCGCACAGACAAAGCGCGGCGCGAGGCGGCCCCGGCGGCCGGCGGGCGCGGCGCCAGCCCCGGCGGCGCGTTCCTGGCAGCGGCCCCTCCCCACCGCGCGCTCCGCCCCCAGCTTCTCATTCACACTTTCCCCCTCCCTTCTAAGAAGGCCGGTTTCTGGCAGAGGCGGGGGCCCCCGCTCCGGGAGCGCGCGGGCAGTTCCAGGAGGCCGAGCGGGAGAGGCTCCCGGCTCCCCTTCCCTTTTTCTCAGACCTCGCGGGGACACCCCCTCGCCCCCACCCGAGCCCGCCCGAGGTCCCGATCGAGGCCCCAGGAGGCCCGGGCCTGCCGCGAGGGAAGTGGGGACACCCCGAAGCCGGTCGGCGACACTGGGGCCGGACCCGGGAGCTGGAGCGGGGGTGGGGGTGGGGACCTGGGTCGTGTCCCCGAAGCGCAGCCGGGAGTCCGGGGATGGAGGGGACGCAGCCTGCGTGGCGGCTGTCCGGCCTCAGTCCTTCGGCCCACTGCCAGGCTCTTTGGCGACGCGGACAGGAGTGCCGCCTCCCGCCGCCGGAAAACCAGAGACCCACAGACAAGAACCGCTCTCACACGTCTGGGTCTCCAAACTTTCGGGGTGCGGTATGGGTCTGGCCAGGGGCTCCCTCCCGGCGGGACTGGTCCCAGGGCAAGCACCGGCCCCACCCCGCGCCCCACGTCCGCTAGAGGGCGCCCCGGGGTCTCCTGGGTAGCGGAGTGCGGAGCTGCTCCTCCCAGGCAGGGGAATGGAAACTGGAGGGGGCGGTGGGGAGGCTGGCTCCGGAGCTGGGGCGGGGGGACCTCACGGGGGACCCAGGAGAGTTCTCCTCGCAGCTGGAATTAGACCTGGGACTAAAGGTCCAGCAGCGGAGGATTTCCAGAAAACAGCTTTTCAGTTCAGCCCACTTCCAGATGGCCCAGAGCCGCCAAGAATGTGCCCCGCCCTCCCTACCTCGAGTGTGGGGGTCTGGGCCGGAGGTGGGGGCGGGTGAGGAGGTGCGTGCGGTGAATGATGGATTTGCTCCTGGTTCGGCCGGCATGGATGTGGGTGGCTTGGGCTAACCCCGGCCAGCTTGATGAAGGTTGGGAAGTTTTGCAATCCGTCCCCAAGCAGGCAGTGGGGACAGACCCCTGAGGACCAGATTAAATTCCACGGAAATCGTCACCTCTCGGTCCACAGGATGCCGTGGGCTTTGGGCTGTGCCCTCTTGCCAGATGCCACCCTGATGAAGAAAATGAGATGGAAAGGAAGGGAGAGAGGCTGACAACAGGCATCGTGGGCGTCTAGCCCACGGAGGCCTGGCTCCTTTGGTTCTCTGGGAGAGGGCCTGTCCATCACCTCTTTCCCTCACACCCGTCCGGACTCCGTGAGATTTGGGCAGGACACTTAGCTCTCTCTCTGGGACTCCGTTTGCCATGTGTAAAATAATCACAGTAACCTCTTCCCATCGGAGAGCTGAGATCACAGAGCTAGAAGAGATTCTGCACGCCGAAGTGTGCCAGAAACGGGAGGGATGGGGTCTTGTTCTTCCTCAGCTTCTGTTAGGAGAGGGGAGTAAGGACGAACTCTTCTTGTTATTTTTAGTTACTTCCACAGAGGGGGAAATGGATTTATTCAATGCATTTCTCAAATACTGGGCTCTGTGTACCAGGCATTATGCTACGTATTGAAATATAATGATGAATAAGACCAGGTCTTTGCCCTCAAGATGCTTGCAGGCTAATGAAATGGATCCCCCTGTCCCGAATCAGGAGTCTGTTCTTTCTCTTGTCCAGGAGAAGGACAAGAGGAGGCTGCGCCATGACCATACACTTCTGTCCTGAGCCTGTGGAGGACAAGAAGACTCACAAGGAAGAGCCCTCGAGTTAATGGATGAGAAAGTGCTTTGTAAATTATAATGCTCTGACACAAGTCAGGTTCATTCATCCAGTCCACAAACCTTCATTGAGTGCCTGCTGTTGCCAGGCACGGAGCAAAGTGCTGGGCAGACAGAAGCACTGGGTGAATCCTGCAAGGAGACAGGCGAGGCGAGAGACATGCCCCCCCCACCCCCGGCCGCCCTTCCCCTGCAGTGAAGACACCGAAAGAAAGGGGAGATTGTAACGATGACCCTAGGATACTGTAAGAGTTCATTTGTAGGGAGGGGATGCTGAAGGGGGAAAGATATGGAGGAGGAAACAGCCCTGGAACTCTGGGAATTCCAGTCTAGTTGGAGGCACTCATGCCTCTGAAGCAAGAACATGGTCCCCAAATGAGCCTGGGCTCTGCGGAGGACCCACAGCAAAGGCTGCATGTCTGCCGGCAAGCTGGGAATGGGGGAGGGGCTGAAAGGGGCTGTGAGGGGGGCTTGCAGTGGAGGAGGGCAAGCGGCACTTGTGGGGGCTATGCCCTCCTTACATACTGATTCTGGAGACTGAACTCCTGTCTAGACTCCACTAGCCAGTAGCTGTATGACTTCTGGTAATTTGCTTCCCCAGGAATGCCTCAGTTACCTGATTTGTAAAATGGGCTGATAATAGTAGCTACCTCACCTGGTTGTTGTAAGGATTAAATGAGCTAATGTGTGCAAATGCTTAGGATAATACCTTGGACATATTAAATGCTCAGTGCACGTTGGCTACTTTTTAAAAAAAAAATTTTAAATTTATTTTCAGCGTAACAGTATTCATTGTTTTTGCACCACACCCAGTGCTCCATGCAAAGGCTACTTTTTTTTTTTTAAAAACACTGGGTTGTCTGGACAGAGGAGGCATGACTGCCGCCCTGGCTGCTGGGGGATGGGTGTGGCCAGGAATGTCTTTCTGTTTTGGAGAGCTGTGTTATCTCCTGTGTAAGACACATTCCATGAAGCCACTTGTCTTCAAACGGATTAGCCAACTACCAAGTTTCCCTTCGGTTTTCTAATATCCCCGGGTTTCCAATGCCTTGGGATGATCCAAACTCAGCCAGTGTGTGTCTAAGGCCACCATCAGTGGTCACCACCCCCACTGACCTTTCATGGATCCCCAGACTGTCTCCAGAATGTTCCCCAGGCCTGGATCTTTGCATGTTCATTTCCTTCCGGGTGGAACTGCCTTCTACATTTTGGCTGGTTTCTACTTTTCCTTTAAGACTTGGCAGAGACTCAGTCCAAACTTCCAGAGGAGTCCTTTCCACGTTGACCAACATGCCCTGTGAGTGAGAACCTTGAAGAACCAGACTGTGGTCGGTTTATTCATCGAGCATTGAAAGTGCTCGATGAATCTTTTTTTTTTTAAGATTTATTTATTTATTATTTTAGAGGACGGAGGAGCAGAGGGAGAGAGAGAATCTCAATCAGACTCCCCACTGAGCACAGGGCCCCATGCAGGGCTCCATAATACGACCTGAGCCAAAACCAAGAGTTGGATGCTTAAACAACCAGGCCACCCAGGCGCCCCTCCATGAATCTTTTTTTTTTTTTAAAGATTTTATTTATTTATTTGACACAGAGAGAGAGAGATCACAATTAGACAGAGAGGCAGGCAGAGAGAGAGGAGGAAGCAGGTTCACTGCTGAGCAGAGAGCCCAATGCGGGGCTGGATCCCAGGACTCTGAGACCATGACCCGAGCCGAAGGCAGAGGCTTAACCCACTGAGCCACCCAGGTGCTCCACCCCCCTCCATGAATCTTTAAGAGATTGTTTTAATTCTTGTTTTCCATCATTTTCAGGTGCCACTGACTGCTTATTTCTAGAGTCGCGCTTTTAGTTTCTTCCTGCAGGACTTGGGAGCATCTGGAAGCTTCTGGAAGCATCTGGACGTCCCACGTGCCTTCGGTGGGGACTAATAAGCCCATTAATTTGAAGATAGAGTGAGGACTCCAGCTTTGCTGGAAAAATGGTAAAGGAGGCACTGGGCCAGTACAAGGGCACACCCCGGGAGACCCTCTTCCAGGCAAGAGAGATACCCGAAGCAGAGCCATCCCAGGGCCTTGTTGTCCCCCTCCCCCCGCGCCCCCCCCCCCCCCCCCCCCCCCCCGCCGCCTGCTGGGAGCTCCCTGGAGAAGAGCTCATCCAGTCTGGCCCCTCTGCCCCACCCCCCACCTGCTGTCTTCCTGGCTTTGGGATTTAGGAGACTCCTGCCTTCTAATCTCTTCCTTTGCAGAATTTCTACGAAGTCAGGATCCCATTTCCAGGCAAAGGTGCTTGGTCATAAAGATAATACAGATTCACTCAAGAGGGAGGGGAAGTACACAGTGGTTTCAGCTGCCTGTAGGGCCCCACTTACTCATGGTGAGTGACAGATGATGAGCTCTTTCCCAAACCTCGTAGATGGGAACTCTGGCGCCTGTGGGGTGGTCGTGGGACGTGATGTCCCGGCCTGGTGAACACAAGGTCCCATACTGGCCTAGACGCTCCTCTTGTCCTCTGGCCGGCCTGGGGGCGGGCTGTAAGGTTGCCATTGTTCAGAGGTATGGGTTAGGAGACTGGCCTCAGACCACAGGGTTGCTCAACCCCAGGCCCTCAGCCTCTCTCTGTCTTTGACCGGTGGGTTTCCGATGGCACAAGAGGGCGGCCTGGGTTGGCCTACCCGGTGGCTTTGTCTTGCTTATTCCGCATTGACGGCGCTCGGGTTACTTGACTAGGCCTGGGGATGGGAAAGAATCTGGTTCCTTCCCTCTGCAGCTTCTAGTCTAGCGCTGGTACTTAAGAGGGGCACAAGGCAGTAAGGCTTCTCCTCTTCTTGCCGCCCCCCGCCCCCCACTGCCACTTTTAAAGCTAATTTGAAGAGGATGTGGGGGGCCT